ATTGAGCCTTATCTAGACAAATTATATATTGAATTGAATCAATAAAGTAAATTGATCAATCTATTATAAATCTAATTAACTCGAGCCGAACACTAGTAAACTTGTTAGTTTCTCCACCTGATCACCGAATAAATAAGCTAGTTTGCTAAAGGATTAAGTTAGTGAACACCAATTTGGTCATCTTAGGAATCGGTAACCAAAGAAACTAAAATCCATTGCACTTCCATAAATCAACCATAATAACAAATAAATCTGAAGCTAAACGAAAGTCTCTTATTCACCTTGGTTAATTAATCTTTGTTCTCTTGCTTTAGTTCTAGTGTTAGCTTAATTAGTTGATAGTTAGTTTGGTAAATTAAGTTTGTAGTCTTGCAAAACTAGAGAAAAAACTCTTTTTCAATTTTATTAGTAATTAATTAGTAGTAGATAAAAATTAGCTAAAATATCGTTCCCTGTGATCGATACCTGTCTAGTGTGCTATACTATCTTCAACAAGGTACACTACCTTAGGAAATAATTAGTCACGTTAGTAGGATTAACTAATTATTTCCTAATGCAGTGTACTTTGTTGAAGATATTATAGAACATACAGGTATCGATCACAGGGAACAGTATTTTAGCTAATTTTTATCTACTACTAATTAATTACTAATAAAATTGAAAAATGGTTTTTTCTCTAGTCTTGCAAGACTAGAAACTTAATTTACCAAACTAACTAACTATCAACTAATTAAGCTAACACTAGAACAAAATCAAGAGAACAAAGATTAATTAACCAAGGTAAATAAGAGACTTTCGTTTAACTTCGGATTTATTTGTTATTATGGTTGATTTATGGAAGTGTAATGAATTTTAGTTTCTTTGGTTACCGATTCCTAAGATGACCAAATTAGTATTCACTAACTTAATCCTTTAGCAAACTAGCTTATTTATTTGGTGATCAGACAGACAAATAACAAGTTTACTAGTGTTCGGTTCGAGTTAACTAGACTTATAATAGATTGATCAATTTAGTTTATTGATTCAATTCAATATATGATTTGTCGTTATATATTAGCTCCTATACCTTTTTACCCGCTTTTCTACTTAACCCTAGGTTTTATTCAAAACTCTACTCCTACAATTTTGCAGTTCACAAGATCATAAGATTCAAATTCAACTAAGGAAGATAGTCATACTAACTTAATCAAATTCAGCAATAAATAGAGAAAATAAGGTTCTTTAATAAGCAAAATCAACAAATAACCAAATAACTAAAACCAATCCATAAATTCAACCACAAATAAACAATCAACCTTAGGCTAAACGAAAGTCATGAGAATTTAACTCATGATTTCAGCAAACAAAGACAAACTCGAAATTCATAGTATTTGACATGGCAAAATCTAATGAAAAGTCAAAGTGTAGAAATTGGTTGCCTTAATGCTCCTACTTCCAAGGTTATAAACGAACTCCTTGCTCCCAAACCTTAGAACAGGTGTTTTTCCTTTAAAAGTGATGATTGCATCCAAAGCCAAAAGTCCCAATTCGGAGACAAATGTGATCTATTTATAATTTTCCCGAATTCAGAGCACCACGACGTGTTGAGGTCACCACGTCGTGGTCTTCGTGTTTATCCCGTGTTCCACAAGTCTTCGAAATCATTCAGGAAGCTTCAAATCACCACGTCGTGGTAAATCCACCACGACGTGTTGAGTGTATTTCTTCTTCATTTTTAAGCATTGGTTCAAACTCTTAGCTTCCAACATCCAACTTCCTGCTTCCTTTTTGCTCCAAGCATATCTTTTACCCCTACAACACAATTCATAACAAATTAAGTACCTTTTGTTCAATAAAGGGCATAAAAGTAATTAAAAATATGAAGATATGATGTATAATTATGTGTATAGATATGCCCATATCAAAATACCCCACATTTATTCTTTGCTTGCCCCTAAGCAAATTGATTTTTCATTTTACCAGCAGTGTACAAAACAATCTATTTCAAACCCAACAATGCATGTATTTATGTCTATGATTCCTAAGAACTTCCCATTCATAAATACTCACAATCCTTATGAACCTTCACCCCTTAACTTATACGACACTCATTTTTGCAACCCTCCGAAACAATCCTTAGAAATCTTTCTTAACCTCAAGGTATTTTTGGCTAAACAACCAAGCATACATAAACTCTAGAAAAATTACAACTTTGATACCACAATAGAGCTCTTTGAATTCTTCACTTTCTTTAAATATTTGATCTTTGATTTCTTTGAATTCACCACCTTCTTTGTTTGATTTTTGGTATCTTCAACTTTTTGGATTTCATCAGAATTTTGATCTTTGAATTTCATACTTTGACTGCTCCAAAATTCTTTAACTTTTTTGTAAATTTTCTCTCTTTTTTTTCTGCTTTGTTTACATGTATCTAACTTTTTTTTTCCCACTCAAATCCTACATGCTTAAGCAATGAGCTTAACTTTAACCTTTATTGGTTAAGGTATTAGTCTAAGTGCAATGAATACCTAAGCTCTCCTGGATAGATTTCAGGTTTAGGCTGCAAAACGTATTATGCCATATAAGCTACCAGATTACCTTTCATACCTCATTACTTTTCACTAGGAAATGGGAAGCCACAAAAACACTATACTAGCAAATTTTTTAATTAGCTAAGTTTTCTAAGTTAAACTATTATTTCAAGTCTATATGAATGCAAATTTTGAAAACTCAAAAGCTTTCTCTCTAATGCAATATACCCCCTACCCCACACTTATTTTATGCAATGCCCTCATTGCATATTATGCAAAAACATATAATTAAAGAGGGAGAAAAAAGAACACTCCCATGGGATAGAAGATGTATCTCTAATCATGTGTAGGATCGCTAGCTTGCTCTAAAGTGTGGAAACGAAAGTGGTATGTAGAATGACAGCCTCCTTACGTGATGAAAAACTCCCCCACGACATAGGAAAATGTCAATCATGTCGTGTGGAACAGCTCATCCATGTCATGGGAATCAATGTATAATTAGAAACGCCACTCATCGAGATAATAATCTTTCCAAATATACCCCCCTTCACTTATTAAAGGCTTTGACACTTGGACTTCAGAATGTATGTGATCAGACTCGAAAATCGGACTTGAAAAGGCACCCCCCTCGTGGTGAAATGGAACACGACGTTGTGGCTTAATCAAAATAATATTTCGGTGTTCTGACTGCGACAACACGACGTGTTGTCTATTGCCACGTCGTGTTGGTCGTAAAATTCCCCAAAACTATGCAGAAATAAACAGATTCACGAGCTATTCTTGAACACCTACTAATAAACACATTGCTTGGACATGACTCTGCACTTTTTGACTTAAATGAACACCCGAAAATGCTTTAATCTTGCTTCTCTCGCCGTTTTCTAATCTTTCTCTATAAAGAACCTCATTTCGCCAAAAATACCTTCACTCGGACTCTAAAAATTCCCTAAATCTAAATCATAGAAAAGTAATGAAACTAGGAAACATAGTTAAACAACCAAAGATAAGTATCCAACAAACCAAACACCTGAAAAATAAAAACATAAAAAAAACAAGTCTTGAATCCACTTAAACAAAAGGATAAAAACTCTCATTCTTCATCATCGCCAACACCATCTCCTCCTCCACTGCCTCCAGCTCCGCCTTATTGTTCTCTCCATAACTCCTCCCAGCTCGGTGCGTAAGGGTACGAAGGGTACGAAGCGGGGAAATGAGCAGGTCGTGAGACATGCATCTGCGCCATAAGGTGATCCAGACTCATATTGGTGTAGTTGGCACTCCTTGCCAAATTGTCTTCAAATCTTCTTCGTGCAATACTATAAGGATCCATGGGTAATTCCTCCTCAGTCGGTACCACTGGCAGCTCGTCTTCTTCGGGTTCCCCTCCTATTTGCCTTACCCGCCTCCCAGGTTGATTTCGGGGAGTGTCAGTAGAAATGGAAAAATGTCCCATCCCATGATCTTCAATAATGTTTCCCCGCTTATAAAGGAGAATAGAGAAAGGTTTCTGAGGCTCCACAGTAAAAATACGGCTTCGCGTTTATCAAGAATACCTTACGAACGCGCAAGCCTAGTGATCAACATACCACCATAAAGAGAAGACCCGCGCCTATCCTTTCATTCCCGAACAACAAGAAACTTCGCCAAAAGGAAAGGTAGGTCCACATAAGCATCGGGAGATATGAGAGCCCATAAGAAAAATACGTCCAAAGTCGGGCACTTGTCACCCTACTGGCGCTGATTGATGGTGTTCGTGATGAGCCGATGCAAGAGGCGATGAAAAGGCGACTGGATGTCACTCTCTTGAGCGGTCCCTTTGTGGCAGGCTCCATTTGCAATGTTGTTCCCGTGTGTTTCCGCCTTGAACCCTTCTGTAATCCACACACAACCAACAATATATTGGAGATAAGATTCAGAATGGACCTCGGACGGAAGATAGATCTCCGTTCTTATGGGGAAATCAGCAAGGATAAGGGTGCGCCTTTCTCCGCCAAGGAAAAAAGAAAGGTTGTCTTCAACATATATACCATCTTTCCTCCCAAAAGAAATAGTGGCTAAAAACTCAATCACCAATTCCTTATACACAATTTCTTGAACTTCAAACTCAATCACCTTGCCCCGGACCCAACATTTCTAATGATTTCATAGTTTGCTAGTGCATCCGTAGCTCGTGCAATCATTAGTCTGATTGTTGTCAAGTCCAATACGGGAGTTGGCATCGATGTTTGTCTTTGCGTAAGGGTTGGCCTTAATGTCGGTGTTGGTCAACCTCAAGTACCTCTTCTTCGAGGCATTATTTCGTCATATTATACAAGTTTTTATAAAGCATATAAGTTGTTTGAACAATCATGTTAGTCAAAACTATGCAAATGTATTTGATCGTATTAAGTTGAAATGTTAGTTTAAATGTTTTTGAAATCACTAAGGATTCCTTAATTTAGTTTGCAAATGACTGAATATTCAAATGAACAATATTCAAAGTAACATGTTGTTGTGATAATAAACATATGCTTCTTATATACATATCTTTGAAACCGTTACATCAATCAAAAGCTAATCACAAAAGTTTAATGGGGTTAGGATGGAAAAGATCTATATAATATTATCCAAAATAATATGCCTAAAGAGATAGCAAGGGTTCTACACTCTTGCATATAACGACGTATCCTTATATCCCTAACCCAAGCACTAAGGCACCACCCACCCAAGTGAATCTACCACTAACCAAAAAGAGAGACTAGTATAGCCTTGATTGCGTTAGCCCTCTGTTTTGCAGCCTCTGCAGCTTCTATCCTGGCCTTTGTGGCCTTTGCAACTTCTATCCTCTGGTGTAATACCTGAGCCTCGAGCTCAAGTTCGGTAATCCTGGCCTCATGGGTCCTCTTGTGTATCTCAACAGCACCTAGGCAATGATATGGAATCTCGATAGCCTCTTCATGTCGATTGCTGTCCTTCACCAGGCTCTGAATCCTAGCCTTATAGGTCACAAAACTGTTGCAAAAGATAATATACTTTACATCCCTATGCTTTGTGGGTATAACTATTGGAAGAGCAACTACATTAAGTTGTATTCATATCGTAGTTGACTATTGTCTTCAATCAAACTCAACTTAGTTAGAAATTTACTCATCGGTGTACCCTTTTTAATAAATACAAGACAAATAGCAGAAAGAGATTTGTGGTGATTATTTTTATGTAACAATTAGTGGCCTTTTAATATGTGTAACAAGCAGAATGGTGGCTATTACAGAGAGGGAGTCTATACACAAGTTAATGTTAGTTCTATACTAAGGTCATGCAATTCAACCAAACCATTACATTAATGATGAGGTGAACCAAATTTTAAAAAAAAGACATATAAAATAGTGGAAAGTAAAATAATGACTTTAAAATTGTTGAAGCTTTAAAAAGATTTAATGATTTGAAGCAGTAAAGCTTCAGGAGGTGTTATAGCATATGCCTTTTGTTGTGTCTTAATACCATCTTCGCTCATGTTGATCCACTTTAATCCCAATTTGAGTTAAAAAAAAAAACAAAAAGAAAAAAAAACTTTGACCTTCTGGAATTACTAAACAAAACAACATGAACCACCTATTCCTTCTGGATTCATACACATTACTTCAAGCCCAAAAAAGTGCTTAAGTTTTTAATAAGTATTCACCTACTTCAACTTCAAAATAGACAAACACAGCTCCTGAAAACTTCAGTCGAAACTAGGATTCAAGATAGATGCACACAGATTCTAAAAGCTTCAGTCAAAACTCGCATTTAGCATATGAAAAACTGATATCGAGTTTGGTACAGTATTATACACCTAGAAAAGTATATTTACAATGGGTGTTTAATGGTCCGTCTAGTCAGTAATTTATTCCAAAAACGTGCAAAACCCAAATTAAATTGAAACCAGATTACGCACAATGTTGTAGCTCATGTTCAAGAAAGGGGGCGTTTTACAGATAGAAATATCAAAAGAAGTAAAATAAACAAATTAAATTAGCATCGTAACCTGGGAGGTGGAGAAGCGTCGTTAGATTGAGGTGGTGGAGAGCGGCCTGGCGTTGGTTCATCATCAGAACTGATAAAAAGGACCAAAACCTCAGCATTACAAAACCCTAAATAATCATTAAACATAAAAATGGATATGAATAAGTCTAACTAAATAAAGTAAACCTTTTCTTCGGAGAGGGAGCTGAAGAAGAAGTGTAGGATATGGAGCGAGAGCGAGAGCGGGAGGATGAGCCTAAACCAGACCCCGTTGGTTTCGCCATGCGCAACAGTACTGCTCGGATCCTGATTGAAAACCCGTTCAGAGTTCAGACAAACCCTAACATAGAATTGGAGTGTGATTTATTTGTGAGGTCGATCGTCGATGATAGCTTTTGGGTTATTGGGTACTGAGCTCAATATGAATCTAGGCCCATGTATATGGGCTCTACAACTCCGAAGTTTCTAATTTCGACAAAAGAAGGTCCATCAGTCCGTTTTTTACTTTCTTATTGATTAAAAGTTGCTTTTGTTTGTTAATAGTTTAATACATGTTCAGACTTAAACTAGATGTCAAGAATCAGAAACTCTCAAACAAAAATCAAACCAGAGAATCACCTTCTTGATAATCCCAAAAACAAAACAAAACTACCTTCTTGGTTTTGTTTGATATCTTTAATTGATTAAGCTAGGAATGAGCACAAAAATCGTACGGAATAAGTCAATATGGACTCGAATTAGAACTCATAAACCGAACTAACATAAATTTTTTATGAGTCGGTTCTTAATCCCACATAAAAATATGTTTCAGTTTTTACTTAAAATTGAACTAAAATTTTAAAAAGCACTTAAATTTTAAATCCAAATCTTCTAATTCAGAGAGAGAGAGAGAGAGAGAGAGAGAGAGAGAGAGCAGAGATGGCTTGGAGGTTGAGAGAGTGGCGAGGAGGAGAGAGAGAGAGAGAGAGAGACCCCTAATGCTCTTTGTGTTCGATATTGACTACCCAAACAATAAAACAAACCTCAAAAATAATTGTTCATCTCCACGATCAACAAAGAATTCTACAAAAGAATGATATTTTAAAAGTTTCTTTACCACACTCAAGGACATATATGGAAAATTTGATTCCTCCTCCATCGAAGATAGTCAAGTAAGTCAAACTTTTTAATGTTGTAATGTTTTATTGGTTTCTTTATATCGATTATTCTATTCATATAATTCAATTAATTCTTGTAAATTGATATTGTAATATTCATGATTAATGTTATTCATGTAATTGTTTTTTTATAATTAAGATGATATATTTGTTGACCTTACCTTATTATTGTTGGTAACGATGTGGATAAGGAAAAAAAAAAGTATGTGACAAAGTCAAAAAAAAAAGGAACCAAAAGTAGGCAAAGAGATATCGGATTATTGGAAAACCTTTTGGATCGTTTGGATAGAAGATGATGATGGAACAAAAAAGAATAATGGTAAATATTAGTTTTGATACAAAAAAGAATAATGGTAAATATTAGTTTTGATCAACCATTCTTAAAGATGATATGCCACATAATGACACATCTAGTTTACTTAAACATGTCGTTCCTGCAAAAAGAATATGGAAAACATGAAAAAACCAAAACACTTTGGTGTTGTTTGTTTTTTGGAAAAAAAAAACTTCTTCAGACCTCTTATTAGTGTGCGGCGCAACACACGCGCAACACTTTTCATCTCGCAACTGTTTTTTTTTTCAGAAGTCTTCGGAGTAAAAAACATTTGCGCGTGTTCTGTTTGACGCAACATTTGTATTGTCTCTTCCAACCTCTTCTTTTTTTTCTTGCTGAAATATTGATTATATATTGCTGAAATCTTATTTCACATTTTTTTCGTTTTTTTTATTCTTGTTGAATTTTGTTTTTTTTATATTGAATAATAATAATTTCTTGATGAAATATCATTATTTTATGCTAAAATATCTTTATTTTTTGTTGAGATATAATTATTTTTTTGCTGAAATATCATAAATTATTGCCGAATGTCAGAAATTATTAAATTTTCGGTATTAAAAAACTATTTTCGGATTATAAAATCAGTTAATTTTAATTTCTTAATATCTGCAGCAACATGCAGATGTTAAAAAAACAAACACGTTTTTTATTACAGTCTGCAGTCGTTTGGTCCACCTCTTCTACTACAGAGGATTGCAGAGGTGGTCCGCAGACTTTATGAATTTTTGCTTAAAAAAACAAACAACACATTTGTAATTTAAGAAAGAACTTTGTGGGGTGGGTAGTGTTACAACTTTGAAGAATGATGACCTTAGGATTAAAAAAAATTACTAGACCTCTTTGTTATAGATGAATTACTCTTTAAGCATTTAGAAAAAAAAAAGCATTTATTGAGTATACAAATGCACTTAATGGGTGGGTTATTTTGTCATCGAGGCATAAATTTAGTCGGGATGTTTTTTTGTCATCGAGGCATAAATTTAATCGGGATGTTGTAGACTATTATATTGAAGAAAAAAATGTTTGTTTACTTGATTAAACAAATAGCACCATACATTTGACGATTAACACTTGAAAGTCCTCATGTCAAATAGTCAATTATATAGTTGTAGCGGATCACTATATTGACGAAAATTGGATCATGCATAAAAGAATCCTAGATTTTAGGCTCCTAGATAGTTACAATGGGAGGATGTGAGTTGTTTATGATTGGAGTGTATATATGAGTGAGATATACAGAACGTTTTGAGAGTGATCATCAATGACGCAACTTCAAACGATAAGGCCCTAGAATTTTTAACAAAAAATAAATTCCCTAACTTGTAAGACAATGGAAAATATTTTCACATAAGGTGAATGGCTCGTTGTAACATCCCAAAAATACAGTCTGAAAATTTCGTTTTAAATCGGTAATAAAACCATAGTCATCATACGTCATAGAAAAAAATCACAACAATGTATCTCAGAATAATATAACAATTGTCATGTATATCAGAGTATAAACATCCTAGGCTGAACAAATGGTGTGTGCACTGCAATCTTTCCGAGCTCCTCTTTTGAAAACTGAGTACCTAAAACCAAAACTGAAACTGTAAGCACGAAGCTTAGTGAGCTCCCCCAAACTACCACATACCATACAATAACATATAAAGCAACTACTGGGCCCTTGCCCACTGCATCGGACCGAAGTCGGAAACTGCATCGGACCGAAGTCCGAAACTAACCAGGGCCTTGCCCTCTGCATCGGACCGAAGTCCGGAAACTGCATCAGACCGAAGTCTGGAACTAACCAGGGCCTTGCCCTCTGCATCAGACCGAAGTCCGGAAACTGCATCAGACCGAAGTCCGGAACTAACCAGGGCCTTGCCCTCTGCATCAGACAGTAGTCCGGAAACTGCATCGGACCGAAGTCCGGAACTAACTGAACATAGCATAGCATAATCACAACTACTGGCATAAACACATATACTGCATACTGCATCGGACCAAAGTCCGGAATACATAACACAAAAACATTTTTGAATCACAAAGACATCAAGCACACTGAACTACTGCATCAGACCGAAGTCTGGAACTACTGCTAACTAAACGGGTCGGCATTGTGGCCGTAGACCCGTTCCTACTGGAAGGAAACTCACATCACACTGCTGAAGTCCCGTAGACACAATCCCACACTGCTGAAGTCCCGCAGACTCAACCCCAGCTGCTGGATGACAGATTCCCAAACTGTCAACACCAAAATAACACCCAATTAATAATTGGGTTCTATCACATATCCATAATTCCATGCTTGGGGTAAAAGACTACTTTACCCTTAACTTAACTTGACTCAGTCCCAAGGCCCAATCCAAAGGCCCAAAGTCCGACTATGGCTCAAAGCCCAACCTTTGGCCCAATTTTCCAAATTGGGCCCAACCTCTACATGGACTTCCCTTAAGGCCCAATTGCTCAGTCCAGTCCAACATGTCTCATTCTAAGGGCCCAATATCATACAACCATCTAGGCCCAAACTATGGCCCATCTATGGCCCAATTTTCCAAATTGGGCTCACACCCTCCTATGGACCTTACCCTAAAGCCCATTAAATTATTCTAGTCCATTTGCTTGTTCTTAGATGGCCCAACACAAAGCCCAAGTGAAATTAGGGTTTCACATAAAATGATAACTAGGGTTAAGTGTTTCTTACTTAACCCATTAAGGACTTAATCCATTAAGTCCTTTACTCTACTAGATAAATGATATGGTAAAATTGGGCTTAATACACAATCCAATCTCAATGGCCCAAAAGTGGGTCCAATAAGTCTAAGGCCCAAATACTCACAATTAGGGTTTTCTAAACCCTAATTAGGGTTTTTCACCCAAACATGGCCCATTAGGCCCAAAACTAATCCGTAAGCCCATTAGGGTTTTGCTAGGTCAATTAGGGTTTGCTTGCGGGGCACCACCCACTACCACCTCGGGTAGTGGTGGTCCATGGCGGCTCACGGCGGCAGCCACCACCTTACGGTGGTGGTTATTATTATTTTTTTATTATTCAATGCTAATTACAGTTACAAACTTTATCCAAAATAATCCACACACTCACTAACACACACACTAACTAATTCACACACTAATTAACTCACACACAGCCACACCATGGTCGCCGACGGCAGTGCTTGGCGGCAGCCACCACCTCACGGTGGTGGTGGTGGTTCTATTTGCATCTTCCGGTCACATAACACACACACACGAATTAATGCAATACAATAGCATACACACCCGATTCGTGAACTACGAACTCAACCACTCCTAAAAGGTGGCGTACGTCGGACATGGCGGTTGGCAGCCACTCGGTTGACCGTTCGGGGCGGCAGACGGTGGTTGTCGCGACGAACACGGTAGCGGCATGCATCATTAACGGCGGTGGTTGGACAGCACCGGCAACAGCCGGGTGTGGCTGTGAACAACGACAGAAAAAGACGACGAAGAAAGGAATGGTGGCAGCGACTTCAAACCGAGGGCAGCGGCTCCTCCATGGCTCGTTCCCCCACAAGAAAGGTCACGGTGCCCGCGGTGAGCGCGTTAATCCAGCAGCAGCAACCACAGGCGGCCTGCGGCTGTGATCGACCCTCTCCACGACGACTGTAACAGCGCCCTCCGCTGGTCTTCATCTTTATTCGCAACCGACCAAGGGACGCTGCACTTGGCTCGGCGGCTAGCGACCTTGATTACAGTGGTGGTGACGCCGGAACATAGAGAAGGGAAGGCAGCAGCTGGAAAGGAAGGCATAAGGAGGGTGGCGCTGGTGATACCCTCTAGGGTTAGGGTTATGCAATGACTAAATACCCAACACCCTAAGCTAATTTACCATAATGTCACAAATGGTCC